GGTGCTATCCGTCGGGCCGGATATGATAATACACACCCTCGGATTGCCGGGGGTGTCGGCCGTAAGACACGGCAGGGCCGCAGTGCGCCTGGAGTGCGGCCAAGCGGGCCGCCGCGATCGCCGAGCTCCGACCGCTGCGCCGCCTCGCGGCCGACTGGCCGACTGCGCCCCCCGCGAGGCCTTATATACCCAGCGGCCTGCACGCAGTTTATGCCCGACGTACTCTTAAATCACGTTTCCACCGCGAACGCGACACTCCAGGAAGTCGCGGTAACCCACTCGTGGCCATGTCGATGACATAACCTCTGCTAGCTGTCTAACCTCGCAAAAAGTCCGGTTCCGAGGGGTGTAACGAGGAGGGCAACCTATCGACTCGACGACTTCGACCGCCATATTGGAACCAGGCCACCCCTTAATTCGAGGTTCACGGCGAATTTAGTAATGAAATCAGCAGCGGGGTCGTTTGAACCTCGTTTTAAATGTTTAAGACGATCGTTGATTCTTAGGGATTTCCAAAATGTGGGCGAAATACCGGCGGAACGGCCTCGGCGGCCATTTTCCCCCGAGCTCCGGAACGCGCTCGCGTCTGTCCGGGAAACGGCCGAGTTTTCTTTTGTCACGTCGCCCCCGGAATCCCCGACTCCGGCGAATCGTATCGAATATCTTATCGCCGGCGTTTAACTCCCCGCCGTCTCGTATGTACGCCGTTAAAAGGGAGGGAATACCAAAGCACAAAGGGAAATACTCGCTTTATAAGAAGGACGTGTATATAGGGGGCCGCGGGGGGCTTTGTTCTCTGCGCCGGAAACCGCTTTGCTCCGCGGCTTTTGCGCCCCGGGAACGCGAGGGTGAACCGCCCCCGCGTTGACATTTCTCCGATGCGCTCTTCGCGAGGACGCCATGTCTGCGAAAAGCCTGTCGGAGGGGCCTCCACGTCCGCCAAGATCCCTCGATTCGAATGCTGACGCGATCCCCCAGAAGTGAGGTTAGGACGCGGCAGGGTGCGGCCCCGCGACTCGCGATGCAACATTTATTCGAACGCATACGTGACCGGGGATGCAAACGGCCGGGGTGAGATGCACTCCTCGCGGACGAGGACGAGAGCCTCTAAAACCTCCCCAGGCAATATGGCGCCCGGGACATGTTCCGGCCTCTTTTAACGCTTTCCGGCGGATTTCCAAGGGCGACTGCTCGCGCGGTCGGAATCTCAAAGAGGCTCAAATTGACCCCATTCCTTCGAGCTACTCGGTTCTAAACAAGCCCGGTGGAAGCGCAATCATCGATTTGTATAATGACTTCGAGGTTAGGAACCTCCTAGGTGCATCGGTTTACACGAACGACGCGATTAAACGAGCGGCGGAAAGCGTTCCGGGGTCGCGCCTTGTAAAGAGACTCCGTCGGGCGCGCTCTGCGCTTGGCGCGAGATTCAGCCGCCATTAGGGGCTCTAAATGCCCTGGATACCAAGATCTTCGTTCCGCACGCGTTTAATTAACGTTCCTCGTAATTTCTTTGCTTTTCTTTCCATTCTTCCGGAGATTTAACGGCCACGCCCCTCTATTGGCTCAGCTCCTTTCTTCCGTGGATTCCCAAGGACTCTTGCCGGCCGTGTTTTATTTTATCCACGGCAGAGAAGTATGTTTCCACCGAAAAAAGAGCCGGGAAACAATGGCGGGCATTCCCGGATAGCGGGAGGTCCTTCAGGGAGGGAAGGATAAAAAAAAAACTTCATCATCTTCTTATAGCTTCCAACCCGCGCCTGTACCTAACCTCGTTGACCCGCTAAGTACGGCTGACCCAGAAAGAAGTCTCGAACGAATTCCATTTGTCTTCAAAGACTTTACGCGACCGACCCTAGGTGGTGCCACCTTCGGCGATTTCCCCGGGACACATTTCCTCCAAATCTCGGGCGGGGAAGTTTGCTTGAGTTTTTCTCGACGATTGGGATTTACTGGCCCGGCAAAGTCGGTCCTCGTGCGCGAAATCACCGTACGGGGGAGGAAGGAAACCGGAAAACCAATTTCACCTCTAACCGCACATGGCCCCTGTTCCGGGACACTCCTTTGCTAGGAAATTTAGACCCGAAACTTCGCCTGTCAGGGTATTTTTCATAAGGAAATCACTAATCCCTTCGCATAAACAGTCTCTCGAGCGATGGAGACGCGGAAGTCCAGCTTAACCCGCGAAGGGACTTCCGTGTCGAATGAAAAATGCCGCAAATCTTGAATTTCCGCAAGGTAAACATGGCGGCCGAATTCCCTGGTACTTGCAATCTTAAAATCGACCCGCCGTAATTCCCGTTTAACGATCGAAACGGACGCCGCGGAGCGAGGAAAAAGAGACCTCGAGACGCATACTCGACCTTGCCGTTAAGCACGCGAGGGCACACCTATGGCGGCGCAATTAGAAAATCTAATGCACGAGGTGCACGTAAATGTGGCTGCGTGACTGTGTCCCGGCGAGCTCGCGAGCACGCGTGTGCCACGACGAAAGGAAAAAAAAGAAGAAAAACGAGGGAAAAAAGGGTTTACGATAAAGGAAAAGGAATTACCCGAGTTACGATCGCGAGTCGTATTTTTAACACGGAGCCGCGGTGTAAGCGCAATAACTCTTGCAGTGCGGCTCGCTACTCATATTTCTCGAAAGTGCCGATAAAAAGGCAGGTTGAGAACCGCCCGTGAATTATACATGTCGCGAAATTCGAGATACGCCTTTATTTATAAGCTCGACACGGAACGACGCACCGTGACCCGATAAATCATGATTATGGATGATCGCGGTGCGTGATTCTCGAAGTCATTTGCGGATTCGTGGAACGATGGCCGCACGCTTCGGATCCTGGGGAAAGAAGAGGTTATGTCGAGGGGTGCGCGGCCACGTTAAGAAACGCTTGCCGCGAGTTTCCGGGCGCGTGTGGCGGATACGTCGCGGGGAGAGCATGCTGCATGAATATTTCGGATAGCTACTCTGGAGTAACACCCATCCCCGCCTTCGCGAACACAACCCTCCTAACCTCTTCCGCAGAAGTTTTGCCCCCTGAAGTTGGCCCTCTCCCCACCACCGGCGGCGTCGTGGTCGTCTTTTTGCGCACCGCGACGCCTACACGACGACCCATTAAACGTCTCTCCAACGGGCCGCCGTTTTTCGTCGTGTCACACCTCGAGTGTAATTTCCGAAATTGTCGCCTCCTTTCTCTCGGGGCCCCCTCTTTCGTTTCGACTTTACGCCGCGCGCCGGGCTGTTCCACTTTCCTTTTCCGTAGCGGACTCGCGCGGCCGAGGCCGAGTCTCACTTCGCAACTTTCGACGGATTTTTCGGGGGATCCTTCGGCGCCTCCCGGCGCTTGGCGGCGCCTCGGTAAACCTCCCCCCGGAGGGACTTTCTTACACCCGGAGAAAGTCCTTTCGCGGCCCCGGAATCCCCGCTAATTGAGGAAAGGAATAACTTCCGGGGCGCTCCAACATGGCCGCTGCGGCGCCGCCCCGAAGTTGGCCGAGGCTGTGTAACTTGCGAGACTGCCTGATCTCCGCGTAAATGTCGCGATGAAGGGTTTAATTTTGAATAAAGAAAGAAAAAAGACTCCTCGCCGCTTGGGAATTAACTTCTTGGATTACTTTTGGAAAGAAATCCTGACGGCTGGTTTAACACGCCATTCTGGTGGTTTTAACCCTGCGGTGAATTTCAGATAAAGGTTATGTAAAGAACAGTGGAAAAACTGTTGGCAGTCCTTTTCTTGAGGCTTTTCAGAATTAATTATCGGCCGAAAGCGTAGTAATTTTGGATTTTCCTATTTAATTTTGCGATAACCATGGTCGCCATTTATGTCCAAATCCGCAAGTCGGTAAAGTGTTAACGAATCGTTCCCGGTTCTTTTGGGGGCTCTCGGAGCCTCTTCGGAAAGTTTCCCGGACGCCGAGGGGAACTTTCGAAATTCCTCCTCCTGGTAAAGGGTCATTTCGAAATTATTTCACGATCGTATTAATCAAGGCCGTATCGCCATGCTCGGGAACCTAGCACCTCGTCGTTACTTTTTACCGCGATAATGGGCGAGCTCGAGTCTTGCGAGGTGCCCCGTAAAAAAGGTCTTCTCAAGGATGATCCCTGGGCCGTGATAATAGACAAGGTCACCGTAAAAATTAATACCTAACGTGCCGCGAAGGAGGAAAGAAAAAATGAAGGGAACTCTCCAAAAAGGACCGCGATAAATTCCTCCTGGAAATTTTGAAGGAGCCAGCGGTTGTCGCTCCATTTTGAAATATTTTTCGGCTCGTTTTAAGGACATTTACGACTTGCAAAATACGGCGATCCTACTTTCGTCTCCTTACGAGGCCGACTTAACGGGAAACGGTAGTTTCCTTTATAACTCTTCTAAGAAAGCAAGGGTGCTGTGAACTGTCGTTAAAGCTCGGAAAGCTGGCTTCTCGCGAATGTTGCACATTATGTCGGGTACGTGACCGGCTTAAAAATGGCGCCGATATCGGAAATGACTGCCAATGGAAAGCCACGACAACCGAGTACGCAGAGCTGACAATATGGATATTGAAACAATTTTCATAAAAACCCGGAGTGAGACGAAACCAGGTCGACCGCCGAGTCCGAAAATGACTTTCCTTCCTAGCCACCACATTGTGGGATATATTCTTTACTTCCTTCCCACTTTACATTTTTTATTCCCTCCCGGAAATAATAGCGCGGCGATCACGCGGCGATTGAGCCTCGAAGTGGTCATCATTTATTTTATAATCACAGAAAAGTAATATTTCCATGTGATGGTAATTACGGTGAAGCTTCATGAATAACGACGAGTTAAGTCGATACCACTTGGAGGAGCAATTAGCAGAAATTATTGGAATTATCTGAAATTAACGCCACGACGGAAGAGTAGAAGTCGCCATGTTTAGTCAGCCATTAATTGGCCGAGAATCGAATAAGCACTCTGGTTTTCCGTCGTGGGGCGAGGATCCTCTGGATCGTTAATCACTGTTTCCGATGTCCTGGTCAGGACTTCACCCTGGATTTTTACTTCCGCCAATTCTGGACGGATCCACGGCTCGCATTCAAACGACGCCAGGGCGTGGAGACGCTGAGCGTCGGCTCAGAGTTCATCAAGAACATCTGGGTGCCCGACACCTTCTTCGTCAACGAGAAGCAGTCGTACTTCCACATCGCCACCACCAGTAACGAGTTCATCCGCATCCACCACTCGGGCAGCATCACCAGAAGTATACGGTAAGTCCCCCTCACCTGAAATAGAATTAAAATCCAGCATGAAGATTCATTCTTCCCAAGAAGTCGACCAAGTTTCGCGCGGTCTTCGGCACAGTGATCGAGAGGTTCACGAGATGGAACAAAACCACTTTCCCCTGTCCTTAATGACCCACCTCTTCTCGAATCGTTCCCAAGGACGTTATAGAACCATTTGTAAGGATCCCTAAGGTTTCCAAGATCGATGGACCCTCTTCCAGTGTTTCATCGACTCTCCGATGGCGAAAATCAATCTCGCCGGAGATCGCGCTCCGAAACTACAATGAATCGACTCTCAGCGCCGCCACCCGGTGGCGTGGGTGAACTAACCGGCGATCTCGCCCAAACGCCCATGGATCTCGAAGATTCAAACTCCCAGCCGCATGATATACCCCTCTGGTCATAATAACCCTCAAAGAATCACCGCAACAGTCCGTGAAAGCCTCTTTCCACCCGAAAAACTTGCGCAAACGAGTTCAGGGAAGATGGCGACTGTCGAGAATGGCTAAACTCCGACAACCGTGCCGAGCCCGGGCATCTCGAGTTCGGCGTAACCTTCAGCACTATTCCCAGGACTTTTCGTCGATAACCGAAGTCAATTTCGCGTCCCAATACCACGATAAACGTAATGCCCCACCCCGGCGGTCCCCCTGGCGGCGGCGTCGGGGAACTACACGCGATTCTTGGCGCGCACGAATCGCCTTTCCATTATAACTTAACAGTTACTAACTTTCCGGGGGCGTAGCATCCATCTCCCTTACTCTTGGCCTCTCTTTCGCGCGCTCGAAAGTATGAGCGGAAAGTGGGTCTACTTTCAGAAATAATCCCGGGAACGACGGTGCCTGAAACCCCCCGAAGTATCGTTCATCGTCATTCCCGGAGCTTCCTCAATGAATATATCCCCATGATATTATAGTGTCCCCGGAGCGTCGTTACAGGCGTTCTCCATCCCCATCTCGCTGCCCCCCCATTTTCCCCACCCCCTGGTTTCCCCCAGCCCCACCACGTCCCTCTTTCCGAGGCCCCTTTCCCCTTTTCCCTTTCCTGGCCGGACGCTTTCCGTCCTTCTCAGCCTGGATCTCCACCTAACCTAACTTCGCGCTTAAATTCACGGTACCCCCTTTTGTCTATGCTATCATCCCCGGGGGAGATCCTCCTCGAGAGGGGGTATCCTGTATTAACGCTCCGGCTATATTCAGGAGAGCCATGCATATCCAACTTATACGCTCCTACGTAGCCACTTTCAGGTGCCACCTAGAGGCCGGTATAACCACTGTACACCATGGTTTACCACCATTATACGGTCTTACTGATATCATCCCGTAGTTGCAGGTTATGTTACCGGTACTCGTAAGTACATAAGTACCGATGCGGTCATCTATGGTGGGAGCTCGTAATGCGCGCCCTACAGAAGGGCGTCAGTCGTTAGGGTCAGGTCGTACACGAAGAGCCACCAGAAGAAGGACCCCATGGAAAACCGGGGTCCATTGCTTTTCCACAGGGATTAATTACACCTTACGATCTTAACCATGCCTTTGGTTAAACCCTGCTCGCCCTAATTGCCGAGGCGTCGATCGCCCCGGAAGGGCTGCACCGAAGATGCACCGCGGTGCATCCCCTTATTTCTCGCGCCTTGTACCGTGTAATTTAATATATCTGAGCAATGCAAATCGCCTGACCCGAATCTCGCTAGCTGGCGTGTAACTTTCGTTACAATCGCCCCTTCCACCTCGGTAACCTCGAAGGGAATTACCCTCCAGGAGTAGTACTCGATAATTTCGGAATGGCGGTAAGTTGCGGTGCTGGGAACCTCGGGTTGATTCGCAGAAATAATTTAACTCGACCGCTTCTGGGGGATATATTGGGGGGAGGAAAAAGGCGGGCGATTATAATTTAACTTATGATAAGGGGAGGCCAGAGGTGAAGGCGTCGGATTGCGTGAGAAGGCGTCGTTATCCGCCTTTCTGCTCGCTTTCTTGCCCCAACCAGAGTGGTATTAGATTCTGAATACCATTGACGTCATTTCCGGTTCTTGTCGGAATCTTGCGGATTCTTTGCAACGCCGCAACTCCTTCCGGTTGGTCCTTTCTACAGGAATGGCCGCGGTTTTTCGAGCCAGTAATTTAATGAAAAGGAAGTCCAAGCGAGTGGACAGTTGCTTCGTCGCAGGAGGGGGACCTCCAATCGCGTCCGCCATTGATCGGGGATTACTTTCGCAATTAATTGCACCGTATCTCCGGGAAACAAGGCGAAGAAAAGGGCACGGTCACTCGGAATGGCGCCGGATCCAATCGGCGTGGGCCCTAAGCCCGTCGGTACTTCGATAATTCGAAAAGATTCGAGGTTAGGTCGAGGAGGATCCGATTGGTCGCCACGTGACCTCGTTTCCCCGGCAATTTTCCCCGGCCTCATCCGGCGGTGTCGATTGCTTTGTCGTCCATTCTCGACTCGGCGGACCCGTGCCCGATTCGTTCGTGTCCCGGGCTGATCGGGTCCCGGGAGATTTGTAGCGCCACCTCCCGGCGTCCGGCGGGGTCTCACCTCGCCAATTCGATCTTCGTTCCTCGCCCAACCGAGGCCCGAATCGACCTCCAAATACTCGCGAAACGTTCCAGAAAAGTGAACTAATTCGACGAGCACAGCGGCACGTCGAATTTTCCCAAGGCATCACGCGACGGCTGATGACCCGTTCGGAACTGTCGGCCATGCCGCTGGATCCGCATTTTCGCACTTCCACCCGTTTCAGGCAGTTCTTTTACCCGTCGGGAGAGCACGTTTTCCGTATCTCGACGAGGCGAATCGCGAAGCGCGGCGCAATTAGGAAATCTGTCATTTTAAAGCCCCGAGATAAACCTCTGGCTCCGGTCCAGCCGGGTTTGCCTAGATCGCGCGAATTCCGGGGACGGAATTTTTCCGCGCCGGATAAGCGCGGCTTCCACCGCCCCAGGTACATCCTTAAGCCGGCGCGGTACATTATTTCGCGTTATTATTATACGGAGTCAACAGGCCGGCTTTAATTGCCGAGCGGGGAGCGGCTAGAGGGCCAAAGAGACAACGGAAATGCGGCGGGATAACGCTGACGCTTTATTTCTCTTGCACTCCACCACCGCGATCCACGAGCACAGTGAACTTAACTCCCATTCACCTGGGGGTTTCGAATCGAAGCTGCTCCCTCGGGGTCCGACGCGTCTCCCTCAGGATGCGGCTCTCGTTGGAAATCCGTTCATTGGGACCCCCCCCAACTCCGCCCCTCGCCGACATTCATCCCTATCTTCTCTGTACACATGCAGGGCGATCGCGAAATCGCTGGATTTCCTTTCACCGGCACGGTCCTCGGGAAAAACCGGGATCGAAAACGTTCCTTTAGAAAATCTCGAGGGTCCGATGGTTTCTGGAAACCCGGGCGACGGGGCCGGCCAATCGCGAGCCCACTCAATTGCCAGACCGAAAGACCTAACCTATAAACTCGGGATGGTATACCGCGTCGCTTTGCAAATGGCGAAAGCGACCTCCTCCCTGACAGGGCCAAGTGCACCGAGCATTAGCAGAAAATACTGCAGTTGCCAGATGCACAATGGACCCTCGCCCGGGAATTTGCGGCTTAGCGGTCGATCCGACGACATGTTGTTAACCTCCCAATCGTTATCCGCTCTTTCTTCGCGATGACTACCGCTGTGTTCGTCCGTTTATTCTGCGCCTTCTTCCTCGTTCCCTAAATAGGCACTTGATATCCTTATCGGCGACGCCCTCGACACTTCGGGTGTCGAAAAACTCCCGTGAGAATTTTTCCTACTCGCGTATTAAATTTACCATTTTTTTACCGTAGAGTTACCATGAAACTTCGTATATCCTCTGACTCCGGGGGTATTATCGGTACCAATCTTAGGGTACTCTCCAAAACGCCTAGAAAAAGAATCATTCTCAGGGTCTAAGGATACATTCTTTCGAGAAATGAGAAATCTCTAAGGGTTTATTTTTGTCTTTGGTATTAGTAGCCTGTCCCTCCGATTAACAGAATCTATGGTCGGGTCCAAATGGAAACGAATTCGATGGTCCTGGGGGAGACTGGTAGCACCGGCACCAGAACTTCGTATATCCTCTGATTTTTTTCCCATGTTTCTTTAACAGGGAATTGATATCCTCTCTGCCGGAGACTCCTAGGGCATTATCGATACCAAACTTAGGGTACTCTCCAAAACGCCTAGAAAAAGAATCATTCTCAGGGTCTAAGGATAGATTCTTTCGAGAAATGAGAAATCTCTCTGGGTTTCTTTTTGTCTTCGGTGTTAGTAGCCTGTTCCTCCGATTAACAGAATCTATGGTCGGGTCCAAATGGAAACGAATTCGATGGTTCTGGGGGAGACTGGTAGCACCGGCACCAGAAGCTCCCGTTGATGGTGCAGCCGCTAACCGGCGTTTAGCGACAACCGGAGCCAGGAAACTCTGCAAATCGGTTGTTGGACCCCCGGATCTCCTCCCCACTGGTTCCTGTTCATTACCGACTTCAGTCCCGACTGTAAGCATCAGGGTTAATAGCAAGACCACCGAATCAGAAAACCCGGCGTGTTTGCCCTCGACTACCGGCGCTGCATGAGCCGCCATGTTTTTTTTCTTTTCTTTCACCCACCATGGGAATTAATACGCGACACCGGAAGACGGATTTGTGTATTTTGCCCCCGAAAACCCGCCGTTCGGTTTGCCTCTTCGTTCGCAACTCGTTTCGGAGAGTAAACTGCCTGGTTCTCCGGCTTTTATGGGCCTTTTTATGTCCATTTCAGCCTTCTCCCATAAAGGAGTCACGCGCCCCGGTTTTGCGGTCGCGTCGCTGCCGCCATATTGGTTCCCGAGGAAACGCAAATACGAGAAGAAATGCCACTTTGATTTCTAAGGGATCTTTAAACATCGTCGCAACGCGATGTTCCTTATTTTCTAACGAGTTTGTATTATAATTCCGCGATTCTCTCTGTTGCAGCTTAACCATCACTGCATCGTGCCCGATGAACCTGCAGTACTTCCCGATGGACCGGCAGCTCTGTCACATCGAGATCGAGAGCTGTAAGTAATCGACCGTGACTTCCTGTTTCACTTAACCATGCATTGACTATTCAGGAGATGGGAAACCATGCCCCAGGAAGCCGGGGCTCCTGTCGAGCAGATTTCATCCGCGACTTCCGCGAGCAGCCTCGAAAACGACGACGCGACACGAGATTGCGTTAGTAAGATGAAGTCCCCAATCGAGGTCGAAATTTCCCGATCAGCAGTCATCCGGGAATAGTCCTCGCCATTTAATTCGGTGATTGACACTCAATTTCGAAATCTCGATGGCAGGTTTATCGCGAGATTCTGACACGCGGGTAACAGGTCTTATGGTTTCGCGGGGCAGGAATTTGCGTGTAATGGCGTATACACGGGGGTTGTAACGTTCCCAGGTTAACGGGGTCCCTCGGGAGTATTAACCGGCCTGCTAGGACACGACATTGTTCCTGCCGGAGCTTTATTACTTTCCGAGTTCGAAAACGCCCCGCGAATTTCCGCGCCTCCGGAAACCGAGGGAAATGTTAATGCCCCTCCGAGTTATCAGCGTTCCGCCCGAATTTTCGACTTTCCGAGTGCATCGAAATCGTCCGAATAAGGCAATAATCCGGCTATTGAAGTCGCGCCAACAGGTACGCGGCTTAATCATTACCGTAAACATTATTAACGGGCACTTTGCGCGATTCCTCGCTTTTTCACCTAGGTTATTCCGCCGCGCACTTTTGCCTCCCGGCATAATTTCAGAATTTAATCATCGATTTCTAATCGCCCAGTGGGACGTCGAATTATTATTTCCTTCTATTTCCGGGGAAAGAACGCGCGGAGTAGAGAAATTCAACTAAAGAAGTGGAGTAGAGAAGTTCCACTAAGCGAGTCGCCGAAATTTCGCAGTCCCGAAATTGCGAGGGGGAGGGTCCTCGATAATATCCAGGTGTCTCGATAATTATCGAGCTCTCGAAGCGTATCAAGTCCTCTATAATTATCGGCCCTCCGAGCTCATAGAGCCTTTTGTAATTATCGGCTCCTCTTCGCTCCAGATCCGGAGGGAAAGACTCGAGTCCGACATTATTCGAAAATTTCGAGGACCCACTTCCGGCGATTCTTTCACTTCCCCCTACCTGAAAGTAAAAGTTAGGTTGGACTTTCTTCGGCTTTCGACATTTAATACGATTCCCAATATACCGGAGTAATTCACGAGTACCACAAAGTACGCGAAACGCTCGTATCGATTCTTTTTCAAACTAAAAACCCTGACACATCAATTCCAGGAATCGATTATCTGTTTAAATTCCGCGTTTCTCTCACCCCGTCCTGTTATAAGTAAAAGTCAGGTTAAAATGCCCTCGTTATTAACATTTCCTCAAATTTCCACTAGAAGGGAGTAATTCACGGCCACCTAAAGTACACGAACTCTGGTATCAAGTTTTTTTAAGAATTAAGATCCTGCCGTATAATTCCTGGAATCGATTTCCCTTTTAAATTCGTACATATCGCGTCGTCCATTTACTGGCAACCGAAGACATGTGTGCCTTCCACGCGTGTCGAGGGTTCGACTGAGAGGGTGGCGAATTTTTTTTCGTACACCCTCCATCCCCTCCACTCCAGTTCTCTTTCTCTCCCGGATTCGGCCGCGCGCCGTCTCTCTTTTTCCCGAGATTCTTTGTTTTTCAGAGAACGACGGAACAAGCTCGAGGTAAAAAGGGCCAGTGAATGAGGCGGGGGGGGGAGAGGGGGGGTTGAAGCGGGCCGACAAGGGGGGTGAGTAATACCGCGCAAATGCATTTCGCGAAATGCAACGACCTACTTAACGCGGATCCGGATGACTGCTGCCGTTCCGACCGAAGCCCATTGGAGCGCGAAACGCGGATACGACCCCCACAGGCGGAAGTTACCCCGATGATAATTGATAACCCGGGCCGGGGTGGCCGATATAGCGATCGCTGCCGATTCCTACGGCGGATGCACCGATTGGTCGCGACGCCGTTTTAAACCGCATCGTTAACTCTACTCGATGGCCGGAATCCTCCGGATTTCCGTCACGGCGGTTCCACTCCGCACGCGGGGGTTCCGCCCCACGGCGGGCGGCAGGGTTCCAAGGGTAACGGCGGGTAATGCGCGAAATTCGTGGAGATATCGCTTCGGTTCGCAGTTGAGGACGGGATGATCGGGTTAGGCAGAACCACCGAAACGACGAGGACAGTGGAACCGGGGGTGGTTCGACATGTCGAGGGGTGGAGGTAGGAGTTTTCGCAAAAGGCGCGATTCGCGGGGCAGCAGGGGCGGGACCTGTTGATTTAACTGACAGGTCCATCCGCGATAACTCCTCCGGTAATGACTCTCGGCGAGGGAAGAAGGGTGCGAAAGAAGAGGCAATTGTGCGGTCCGAATTTCCTGGGGGTGGATTTCGGCCGGACCATCCGAACCCGCGGGACCCTGGCGCCGACGAGGAGGACCGGAGGAATCCTGATATCGGGGGTGTTTTCCACCCCCTGGCCGAAAAGCGCGGCTCGGCTCCCTTTTTCACCCCCGGGGGTGCTCGCGAGATACTTTCTCTTCACCCGGTCTTCTCTCCCACCCCTAACGACTTTCTTTGTGCGCCTTTCTCTCTTTCTCTCTCTCGCGCTCACCCACCTTCACCTCCGTACACGCGAGTCTCCTTTCTCTCTGTTTCTTTACACACCCCCGACACGCAATGGCGCGCCAACCCCCGCGCCCCGGAGGGTTGCTTTCATCGAACGGCTCCTCTCCGCAGCGCCGGGCGATTCAATGGCCGCGAGAAGGCTCGTTTCGCCGTTTCCTCCTCTGGCGATTTTCTTTAAGGCAATTAGGCGGATCCTAGCCCCTTTCTCCGGGTTGCTGAAAGAAGTCGCCGACGAGAGCGAGCTTTTCCACGGGGTGCGCACGGCTGGCCGCCGGCGCGCCGTGTCGCTGCAAGGGGTTGAATCGCGAGGCGCGCCCTTCGAGATTAATCCGGGTCTACCGCCTTATGGACGAGTCGTGGAAAAAAATGTCCTGGAGAATTATTCTTCCTCGGGATGTAGTCGACAATTTATGTGAAGGGCGTTTTTCTGTGGCACGTGCCGGTAGGGCGGAAATCGGGTTCGAAGGAGGCGCCTGCGTGGACTCCTTGGGCGACCGACGCGGCGGTTCGCATCATCTTTGCTGTATACTCGCAGGATAATGGCGTCGCTACCTGGTATTGTCATTGCTATTAACACGATTATGTTTCCTACTACTGTTACATACTACTGTTACTACCTATCTACTACTCTCGAGCACGATGTGCAGCCAAAAGCACCCAACAAGCTTTCTCGCCGAGCGTCACCGAGACGTGACGTGGTTATGTACCTTCCATGAGACACGAACGGATCCGATCGCCTACACGTAGCGCCGCCTCGCGAGCGAATCGCTCGCACTCGCATTGCGTGCCCGAGTGGGCGCGGTGACACCCCTGCGAGTGCTCGCCAACGAAACTAGAACAAAAAGAGAGAAAACGCTTTTTCGACCGTTTACACCCGAGTCGAGTCCGCTTTGTGCCGGAGGAAGTAGACGCGGCTTTGAAAGCGACCAAGAACGTCGCCGCGGGAGGGCCTGACAGTCCCCCGGCGACGCCGCCAGTTGCGCTCACCTCGCGTTTTCGCGTCGATCCTGACGGCCTGCCGGTTGGAATTCTTTCCTGAAACTTGGCCCTGAGAAACTACCCGCGGGAGAGATTTCTAAACGCTTATAGTTTCTCAGGTAACTGCAAATTCCGCATCAATCGGGACCTTCGAAACGTGCGAGCTGAGGTGAGCCAAGTTGCGGGCGGTAACCTCGCCGATCCGGGACAACTTCACGACTTTCCCTTCCTTCCCGAAAATCCCGAAGCTGGGCGCAGAAGAACGAATTGGGGGAGGGAACCCACTTTCTGGGAATTGTCCTGCCTGTAAATTATGGCGCGGAGGAAACGGCTCTCGTATCGAGGGCTTGACTCTTGAAGCCGATATCCCGGTCGGTCGGGAAGGCGGTATAAAATGGCGTATAAAATAGCGTTTCGGTCCGTTCCGGTTTCGGGCCGGAGATCCGAGCCGGAAACGAGATTGTCGCGCGTCGCAGACCCGGAAGGTATACGTTTCCTGTGGGCTCCTAGACGAACGGGTCGAATCGAAGATCCCAAATCCGGTCGTGAACTCGAGTGTCGTTTCTCGCTCATTCGGCGACTCGACTCCCGAACAATAAAATCGGCGACACAGTTACGGGAAAAGTGCCGGAAGTGGCGGGAGCCGTAAGGCGCATCCGGCGTCCTTATCGTTTGTTTCTCCGAATATCCGCGCGGCGGCGCTACCGAAGCGCCATGGCGGCACAATGGGGAACTTTCGGGTAAATCACCCCGTCGGACCATTAAAAGTCATCCCCGCGATCCCAGCGGGGCGGAAGGGGACTTCCGCAGGCGGGGATTTATCGCTCTTCGCTGCGGAAGCGTTTCCGCTCGCGGGGAGAATTTTCCCGTGGGTTCTTATTCGCGAGGTGAGCCGCCGCGTTCGAGCGCTGATCATAAATGGCTTGTTTTGGGGGTTAGAGCACTTCCCAAGGCTCGGCAAAGAAGGGAGGGACTCTTTCCACCAAAAGTAATCGCCCCTCGCTGCGAAAGCTTTTTAATCGCGAGGTCAGGTCGCCATTCTCGGGCGCCGATCGCTCCTGATCTATCGGGGCGATTTTCGCGGGATTTTCGCCGCAAATCAGGATAGAAAGGTACCACGGAGCAATAATAGGGTTCCCCGGGGCAATTTGCTGTAATTCTGTGCACCCAGCCCCCCTCCCCCCCTGTACCTTAAATAATTGACCTCGGTGGGAAAATGGCGCTGGTGCCAATCGACCGGCAGGCGCGTGCTACATTTTTTCCAATGGACGCGAGACATGCCGCGAGATTCCTGGGAATTTACCCACGCGAGGGACGGAATTGATTTCTTAATTCGCCTGGAGTCGAAGAAACTCCGACAGCCTTTGAGAAACCGCCGGTAGGGGCACCAGCGACGCTCGTG